CTTCATTATATCTCTGGTCTGGTTTTAATGGGTTTTACAAGCTTTCTTTCACTGTCCTTAAGTTGCTGCATTTCAGCTTTTAGAATATTCTCCTTGATTTAATTTTAACGGCTGAAGTTCACATTCCTGAGACCAATCGTATGGATTCCAAGTTTCCTTTCATCTTTTTGTGTTCAGTCATGTTCCTAACACAAGGTCTAACATTCAAATAACACTGAAATCTTCAATTGTTAATTGAATTCAAATGATGAAACAGTTGATGCTAATGAACATTTGTTTTTAAGAAAAGAATTCTACAATTCTCAAACAGACTGAAGGAAATGAGAAAGGCAAAAGTCACATATAACGACGAATGGTATCATTTTTTACTGTAAGTTAGAATATAGAAAGAGATTTTTTTTCTAATTCCTATGGACTTTATTCCCATTATTCCTTTTGCAGGCAACTCCAGCATATTTTCTCTCCTCCCTAACTACAGAGTACTCTGCAAGAATGTGGTTTTATCTGCAGGTTTTATTGGCAATAATGTTTTATGTTAACAACTCTATATCTTTAATTAATGAGCCTGTTGTTTCTAAAAATGGGGAAGAGGCTATAGGGGATATTTAATAAGGCTGTCCAAAGAGCAACAATTGCAAGTACAACCAATCTACTGAAAGATGATTGCTGATGGGTTGTTTTGAGCTACTATACTTCTTTGCTTTTAACACAGAAAATATTGTCTGTATTTTGCAGTAACTGGACAGGTAGGCTTTGATAATCTTTTACACTATATTAATTTGCAAAGTATGATAACCCACAACAGCCCATTGGATGTTATATTCATCAAAGTCAGATCAGTAATGTTTGTAAACCCTAACAATAAACTTCTCTTATTTTCTCTTATTAAATACAGTATACTATTGAAAGAATTTTGTTATGTCTGTTCAATAAGTGCAAACAATACATATTGATTCTGTCAAAAATTTAGCTTGCACTGGTATTGAACCCAAAACCAAAAATGTAATATATTGCAGCTTACCAGTCTTTAAATGTGATGGCTGTATTAGGTTTTTTTTAGACTTTTTCCCCCTTAATTTCACCTGGTGATCCAGCCAGTAACACACTTCCCATCTTAGGGTGTCTGCATCCTGGAAATATAAAGCAGACACCCTTTGCAAGGCTTCCAATAAGGGGATACCACTGGTCCCATCAATTTAATAGGAGGGGACCGGGCAGCTTCATGTTACACTTAAATGTGCAGGCAGTTTTCAATGTTTGACCTCCTAGAATGTCCAGTAAATAAACCTTTCCCTTGGCACCATCATTTCTTCAGAAGGGCCCAGGAGGTTGCAGCAAATTAGGAACTTTTTTTATTTCAGAGAGTAGGTGGTAGGTGCCGCTTCTGCCAATACTAAGTTTAATATTCCAGCCCCAGCTAGTGGAAATATATGCCTAAATGCCTGCCTGCCTCACTGTTTTTTAAGTTTAACAAGTGGGTTGAATGAAAAAAAAAAAAAACTGACCCAATGCCCCATCCACAAATTCCAGGTGAATGGGGGAATCCTCCCTGTTTTGTCTTGTATTCTGAAAGCAGGGAGAGTTCCCCACCATCAGAGTACACTTATCAGCTCTGCAGGCTATAGCTTGATCGAGAGGAAATTTTTCAAGAGAGTGTCTGTACAGAAAAAATCGGTAGATCAACTTCTGTTTAACCGCAGTGCCCCAATAATGGATCAAATTCAACCAGTCTCTGCTGAACTGACCAACTTTCAATCCATGTATGGGCAGATGTACACTAGCAGATTTAGATGGACTTGACTAACAAATTGAAGCTGAACTCCAGTTAACACTTTATAAGTAGCTACAACAAACACTTTTTTTTTTTTTTTTAGAATAAATGAATAAGACCTGACCATTGTAATCAGCTCTGTCTGTGTTAAATGGTTTGTTTCGACCCTCTAACTGCTACTTAATGTGGACAGCTTGGTCTGGTAGCTTCCCTAGCGGTATGATTATGTCAGTATTTCTGTGTTCAAAGCGTACATTTTTTTGCATGGAAATATGTCTTTTTTTTATTGTAGGCCTGTAATTTTTAGGAATAACTCACTGAAATCTGTCCGAACAAGAGTCTAGTAAACATCCCGGGTATGATAAAGTTTGAAACACAAAATCATAAATTATAATAAATAATCATAAAAAAATTATAATATAATAATAAATGTAATTCAATAATATAATCAAACCAAAAACACTGAAATTTGAAATATAGCGCCAAGTTCGCACATCACTGATCTTAGTCGCAAAATCGTTTTCAGTGTCTGATGACAAATTTCCCCACAAATCATTATCACTCAATTCTGCAAGTAGTTCTAATTTACTATCACTGTTCTCTAGCTGGTCTAAAACCTCTTTTGACCTAAAGTGACGCTTTTTGGAAGCCATGGACGTTTCTCAGTTTCCAGGCAGAAAGAACAGTAAAAATGCAGGCAGGGCACAGGACAAAGCACTAGGGACAAAATGTACGTGAAATTGTTTGAAACAGCAATGTTATACTATGTGATTTTAGTATATTTAGTGAATGTCACTTTTTACATTTTTAAATTTCCTGCCGGTTCTGTCCCCCGTATGTCCTGACATCACAGGGAACGGAACCTGGAAGACGGATGCCGGCATCGGCCAGAGGAGATGGCCGAGGACACTGCAAGGGGACATCGCAGGAGCGCAGGACAAGGTAAGTGCAAGAGGGATCTCAGAGCAACGCTGCAGGGTAACCCCAAGTGTAGCTCGGGGTTACCGCTTTTGGTGCTGAAACTTTACCCCGAGCTACACTCAGGAATACTGCCAGGGAGGTTAAAGTAAACTGAAAACTGAAAAAGATCTACTGGTTTGATGGCCAGATGAAAATAAAAGGAAAAAAGATTAGAAAAAAAAAAAAGAAAACAAATGCAGCCACCACATCTAGGAACTGGTGAACTGCAATTTAATATATTATTATTATACAGTATTTATATAGCGCTAAAAGGTTTGCTCAGCGCTGTACATTATAGTGGGGGACAGTACATGAGACAATACAGTAACAAAACAAAACACGAGGGGGTCAAGGGCCCTGCTCTTTCGAGCTTACAATCTATTTGTTTCTGGGTTTATTACTACCTTAGGCTAAGTTCACACTGTAGCTGGTCCAGGAACATATATAAATCGCATGCGTTTTCCAACCCACAGGCAATCGAAGGCAAAACGTGCTGCTCCTTTCAGAAAAAAAAGGGTTGGGGATTTTTTCCCTGTGTTTCCCTCAGGTACAGCAGCCCATTCAAATGAATGCTGCACCCTCGCAAATTTGAGCCACACCACAATAGTGAACCTGGACTTAAGCCCTCTAAAAAGCCCTGCCCAGTTCTCTCTGTGTATAAGAGAACATCTCTCCCTATGCTATTGAGATGACGAGAGAGGGAGGTATGTAGTAGTTGTGTTTCTAGGGTGACAACACTTATCCAGTATCTTTATCATTAAGCACATGCATCTAAATTTCCCTTGCCTCTGAAGCTCTATCTGCATTCAGATCATGCTCTGAAGCAGGGGTGTCAAACTGGTGGCCTTCCAGCTGTTGCCAAACTACATGTCCCATGAGGCATTGCAAAGGCTGATAGTTACAAGCTTGACTCTCAAAGGAAGAGGCATGATGGGACTTGTAGTTTCGCAACAGTTAGAGGGTCGCCAGTTTGACACCCCTGCTCTAGAGTGTACTAACAGGCAGTGAGAAAATGATGCAATGCCTTCTCACTGCCTGTTTTAACCTCATTTTGTAAGTCAAACATTGCAATGCACGTGGCTGCAGGGCGTTTGTGGCACATCCCCAATGACTTGAATGTGTAATCTGCCCATTGCTACAAGTCGGGTCAACTTTGCTGTGAGCACGAAGCCAAGCATCACGGCAGCAACATATAAACGTCCCCTTCTGCTGCCTCTTGTAGCTAAAGGGGGAAGGTTAGTGGACAAAAAAAAACGCAGCTTAACTATGCATTTTTGGCATATTCCCCAACCTCAAATCTAAGCAAGGCCTAAATGTAAAATTAAACTAGCACTGGAACCAACATTTTTAAAGCCCTGGCCTTTAACCACCAGCCTCTATTAATTCCCAATGATTTAAAGTGCAAAGATAAAAACTACTCTGATCACCTAAACACAGATACATTAGGGTTATGTTTTTATTTTGTTCTCCTATGTCCAAATCAACCACAGATTTTAGAGAGAGGTTGGATATGCATGCAAGGCCCAGGTGCTCTGGAGAGACAAAAAGTCTGAAGAGTGCTACAGTTTGCCACAGACCTCTTAGCTCCACTCTCTGCTGAGATGAGAAAAAGTTCTAGATGGAAAGAGGGTTTGGGAGGCACGGTAGGGACAGAGACTACTAATGTAGGATTATGAGTAGGTGAACAACAATGATCAGGACAGGTTTTCCAACCTATCTTATCACTAGCTACACCTTCATTGGCCTTCAGCATCAATGACTACCCATAGACATGAGATCTTTACTAAATTTTTCCAAAAGTGTTCCAGGCAAATTTCACCTCATATGTATGAGCACTTTGAAGTGTATGTAAAACCAAATTCTATTTTACAGTATGCTTGGCATCAGTTAGCTGATGGGCAGCTTAATGGCTAATTAAAGTAGCACATACGGCAGGCTGACAATGCTGCTCTTAATTTGAAGGAAATGTCTTGGCGTTGTCAGCCCTTAAGAGGAAACTTTGTTATCGGCTTAATCTCCAGGTTAAAAAAAAAAACTTTAGAAACAGTGATAAAAAATTGCTTCAGAAGACTGAATGCAAAAAAAAAATGTTGGGTTTATGAACACTTTAAGACTGTTTATACATGAGCAGGTCACTAGAGATGAGCGAATTATTCAAAAATTCGATTCGGCTGATTCGGCGAATTCGCGGAATAAATTCGATTCGAGTCGAATATATTCGCTGCGAATTTAACATATAAAAAGGGTGTTTCTAGGCTTCAGAGAGCCTTTATATTAGTGCAGAACACTGTACCTTTAATTTAAATGCCCTTGGAGTGTGCTGGGGAAGAGAAATAATACTGTCAGTCAGTATGACATGCAGATGAGTGCCGTCGATCTTAGAATCACCGCACACTTCACTCATTTGGGCAGTCACGGGGCCAAAACCAGAGTGTGGAGCCACAGTGTGGCGGTGGAGGCAGCAGCAATGGGAGGCCATACAGCACCCTATGACAAAATGGAACCCACCAGCAGTGTGAGGAGACCTGAAAGTGGCACATGGCAGAGTGTGGCGATGGAGACAGCAGCAATGGGAGGCCGTACAGGGACCCATGACACACTCTGGACCTGGCAGCAGCATGAGGAGGCGGTACAGGGACCCATGACAGATTACGGGCCTGGCAGCAGCATGAGGAGTTGGTATGGGGGCCCATGGCAGATTACGGGCCTGGCAGCAGCAATGGGAGGCCCGTAATCTGCCAGCACACCCTATGACAAAATGGAACCCACCAGCAGTGTGAGGAGACCTGAAAGTGGCACATGGCAGAGTGTGGCGATGGAGACAGCAGCAATGGGAGGCTGTACAGGGACCCATGACACACTCTGGACCTGGCAGCAGCATGAGGAGGCGGTACAGGGGCCCATGACAGATTACGGGCCTGGCAGCAGCATGAGGAGTCGGTACGGGGGCCCATGGCAGATTACGGGCCTGACAGCAGCAATGGGAGGCCCGTATTCTGCCAGCACCCTATGACAAAATGGAACCCACCAGCAGTGTGAGGAGACCTGAAAGTGGCACATGGCAGAGTGTGGTGATGGAGACAGCAGCAATGGGAGGCCGTACAGGGACCCATGACACACTCTGGATCTGGCAGCAGCATGAGGAGGCGGTACAGGGGCCCATGACAGATTACGGGCCTGGCAGCAGCATGAGGAGTCGGTACGGGGGCCCATGGCAGATTACGGGCCTGGCAGCAGCAATGGGAGGCCCGTAATCTGCCAGCACCCTATGACAAAAATGGAACCCACCAGCAGTGTGAGGAGACCTGAAAGTGGCACATGGCAGAGTGTGGCTATGGAGACAGCAGCAATGGGAGGCCGTACAGGGACCCATGACACAATCTGGACCTGGCAGCAGCAAGAGGAGGCGGTACAGGGGCCCATGGCAGAGTGGCGAAGCGTAAGCAGCTTAAATTGAAGGCCATACAGAGGCCTATGTTAAAAATAATAACATGTTTGGGGCATGATTCATGGCGGATTTAGTCAGTTGTGTCAGGAACTGGTGGTTTGAAATCCAGACTAATCCACGCCTGATTCATTTTCACAAACGTGAGTCTCTCCACACTTTGGGTGGACAGTCGTGTCCTCCGCGGAGTTACAATACCTCCTGCCGCACTAAACACGCGCTCCGATGCCACGCTACTGGCCGGGCATGACAGCCTTTCAAGGGCAAATTCAGCTAGTTGGGGCCAAAGGTCAAGTTTCGTTGCCCAGTAGTCAAGGGGATTGTCTACCTCGGTTGGCAGGGTGCTGTCCAAGTAGGCCCAAGCCTGTTGTTTGAGGTCCTGCTCCAGGTCCACCTGATGCTGCTGCTGCTGCGGCTGGTTAGTAGTTTCCTCACTGCGCTGGTGAAGAAAGCTACTCATCATCGACTGCAGACTGAGGCAGCCGCTGCTGGTGGAGCTGCCACTGCTCCTACCACCCCACCCCTCCCCTGCTGCCATGGCAGCGGAACGCGAGCGCACAGGGCCCACAGTGTCTGAGGATGGACGTTGGCGCACAAAGGCAGAGACCAACTGACTACATAGGTGGTTTTTATAGTACGTTATTTTGGCCTCCCTCTCAGCAGGTGTGAAAAAGGCCACCATTTTTGAACGGTAGCGAGCGTCCAACAAGGTGGACAGCCAAAAGTCATCCCTCTGTCTGATGGTTACTATTCGGCTGTCGCTACGCAAGCAACCGAGCATGCTATGGCCATTTGTGCCAAGGAATGCGAGGGACTCCCTGCCTCCATCTCCACAGCATACTGCCACGGTGCGTCTGGGTCCTCTGTCTCCTCCTCCTCCTCCTCTACCAGATGCTCCTGCTCCTCCACTCCTGTCCGCTGAGTGGAAAAACCACCCATTTCACTCAATAATTCCTGAGCACCAATGTCCTCCTCTACCTCCTCCTCTTCTTCCTGTCCTGCCCCCACAGGGGTCATGTGGCGTTGAGATCTGTGCGCCACGTCTACCGCACCCTGACCAGCCATTGTTAACAGCATTTGTTCCAGGACGTGCAACAGAGGAATGACGTCGTTCATCCCATAGTCCTGCCGACTCACGAATAGCGTGGCCTCCTCAAAGGGCCTGAGCAAGCGGCAGGTGTCACGCATGAGCTGCCAATGGCTGACATCTAAGTTACACAGGGGAGTACCTTTATCCGCTTGTAATATCAGGAAATCGGTGATGGCCTTTCGCTGTTCGTAAAGGCGGTCTAACATATGTAGGGTTGAATTCCACCTTGTTGCAACGTCGCAGATCAGGCGATGCTGTGGAATTCCGTTCTGCCGCTGCAGCTCAAGAAGGGTGTGCTTTGCGGTGTAGGAATGGCTGAAATGCATGCAAAGTTTACGTGACATTTTAAGGATGTCTTGCAGTGGGATGGTGGATTTTAGGAACCGCTTGACAACCAGATTGAACACGTGAGCCATGCATGGCGCATGGCACAACCTTCCTTGACACAGAGCAGACACCATGTTCTTTCCGTTGTTGGTCAACATGGTTCCGA